AATTAAGCTGATTCTCACTGGGGCAAAGGTCAAACTTCAGAGAAACTTTACCAAAAAAACTGCCCAGTTGGGGTATTCACAGTGATTTTCAAATTTTTTTTAAATTTTGATTTGCAGCAAGTTTTAGAAATGCGCTGTTAATTTTTAAACATCCAAGAGCACATCATGCCCAGTGAAGTACATAAACAGCATGTTTTGGCTTTTTCATTTTTTTTTTACAGCATTTAGACAGATCACATTCCTCATGTTAATTAGGACATGGGTTAATGGCATTTGGTTACATATCTGTTAATGGCTGGGGGTTAGGTGAGTTTCATATGGTTAATGGGATTGTTATTTGTTGTTAATGGTTGGGGGTCATGGTTTAATGGGGGTGTTACATTTACTGTTGATGGTTCGGGGCTGATTGAGGTTTGTTTGGTTAATGAATAGAGGTTAATGGGATTGTTTCATGGCTAAGAGGAAACGATCTGAAAATACTGTAATTGACTCTCAATTGATGGATATCCAGTCAGTCAGAAAGCCAATTGGCTTGTATTTTAGAAATAGACTATTATCATGTTCAAGTTGGTCCATGTGGCAGGCTAACCCTGGATAATAGCAAGTTCATTTATACATGATCTTGTATGACTGTAGGTCTATTGTTTCACTTCCAAATCAAATTGTAGAATTGTGTCGCATTGGGTTTGACACCATGCTGGCAGGCATCTTCACTGCTACATTCTTCCTCTGCCCCGTAGGTGCAATGGGTGTTGGTTCCAACCTTCCTTGTGGCTGATTCAAATCGAAGTGTGCAGGAATCATCTGTAAAATAACAAAATAAAATTTTAATCTTTTTATCTTAAAAGTCAACAGATTTGTAAATTGCCAGGACTTGAGAGGCTATGTCTACTTTGGGGCAATCCTTACTTTTTGGATTCTGCAAGTATTCAACTGCCAAATGCTTAAAATTTCAAATTTTCTTCCAAGGTCCTCTACGAAATTGCTCCTCAAACTTTTGTGTAAAAAAAGACTTCAGCAGGAGGAGGTCGTGGGTTCGAGTCCCACCCAAGTCCGCTTGTGGTTTTTCACAAGCCTTTGGGGGCATACACCGAGTACACAGTGTTAAAATAGAGGTCTCCCCAGCGCAAATCCATCCTTGAAATAAAAGACTTCCTATGCAAGCAAAGGTAATTTGGGAAGTATATGGCCTTGGACCATTTGTACTGGTACAAAACTGACAATGAGCCCGACCTACAAATCTCGCTATTGGAAATTTTTATCTGGTTTCTTGATGTGGTCGCCTAATTTCGCTACCTATTGAAAAGTCTGATTGGTTTTCTGATTGGAAGCGAGGGAGTACATATGGCAAGATGCGCAAGTGCTACATGCTGCCTTGTGAAGCTGTTCACACACTTGTAAATGGTCATGCCAATACCAGATGTTTGTGACACTGTGTACGTGCAATGCACGACGCATCGTGTGAATGGCCATGGTATGCAGATTGGTGGATCATTTTGATGAGGAGAGGCACGGTGGCAAGTAAAAGCGGGTAGAGTTCCAAATACATACACCAGAAATTATTCCCTCAGTGACTTTTTCGCAATCATAAAGTAAAAATGTCCAGAAAGGTTCAATTTAGGAGGAGTAATACCAAGTCATTTACTGAAAATCAAGATCTTTTCAGACCAGTCTCATAGGATTTGTCAGAAAGAGTTCCGTAGATGGATGCCACTTGAAATCCTGTGCACAAAGCCTACGAGACTGGTTCTTAAAATTTGTGTTTTCTAGAAAACAATTTGGTTTTTTGCCTTGGCTCAATTGCAGAATACCCTGCCACCTTGCATGACCAATCTCATAGCCAGTTACAAGTCAAAGTGTTACTCTTTTCAAGTGATTTTCACTTTGTTCCCACATAACCAGTCATTCCAGGGGTCCTTTTTTTAGAGGGGGGGGCATTGTGCAAGTTAGGCCTACTCCTTTGCTTTCTGAAGGCAAAAAGGTCACTGTAGGGAATAATTACTGGCGTCCATACATATATGTACAATATTTTGGACCACTGTATGTGACTTTTTACCCCTAAAGCAAAAAGACATCGGAAACGCATTACATTTCAAATATAAAGCCACACACTTCCCAAGCTGCCTTTGAGACAAGTTTTCCTATTGCACAAAGCCGGGCTGAAGAGCCATTTTGAGGAGGTCTTTTGGAAGAAAACTTCGAATTTCAAGAATTCCATATCTAGACTTCACTTGACACCTTAGCGTAATAGTGGTCTAAAAGATTCTAAATATTTACGAAGTAAATGCTTCAATATTTTCACTGCTAACTTTGACTGATTACATCTTATCTATGATATCACCTTCTTAAGGGTTAATAACCTGTCCGCATATGGAACTTTCAGTCTCACTTATTTAGCCTACCGTGACGAAATGAACGAGTTGCGTGCAGTCGAAATTTAATTTCGTGCTAAAAAAGTCGGTGTTTCAAATTTTAATGACTTTCAGTTTACTCTTTAAACAAGAAACTCTGCCACTGCTACTTATGAGGGTCACTTACCACTTACAGCTCCGTTTGACTCCAAAACGACAAAATTATACTCTGGCTGTCAAGATGGCGTAGAGAAAATGATGCTCCGTCCACGAGGCCCGCGAATTTATGGATGCACGCCACCCCACGTGTTAATTTCATTGTAAATGCAGTTACACTGGTTCCCGTTCCTGCTTTCACTCTAACTTTGAATTCATTGCGACGGAAACCAACCATTGCGTAGTTCAAATTCGATTGATTGGATTCCCTATTTGTCGAGTAAATTTTTAGAAAGGTTCCATTAGGACAGTACTTTTTTAATTTGTTGAATTATAAACCCACAGCTCTGAATAATAATATTTTTACAAGGAAGAACTAGTAGAAAATTCTTATTTTAAAACATGTAAGATTTACATATGCATGACGAACAGCGCCACTAAGGGCGTGGTTCAACCACAAGTTCCCGTCCGCAACTGCGCAACATAGTCTCCAGACGTCTAATTACAGACGTCCACAGGGCGTAGGAATCCTGCCGGTCTTATGTTAATGAGAAATTTAGCATGTAACGATTCCCACCGTGAGTCACCGTGGCAACATAATATACTTGACAAAGTTTAGCTTTCGCACGATGGACATTATCAATCTGGAAATGAGTTTCCAATTACTTCGAAGCTGTCCTTGGCAAAGTTAATGCTAGGCAAAACTTAGTTTTGTTAAAATATTAGAAATCAAAAGACATTGCGTTTTAAGAATGTACGGCGATACTGTGTTCGGCTGTGACGCGCACAAAAGGTTGTGTGATAGGGTTAAGTAGGCCTATATTTCATAAACGCCGCAGGTCGGTCGCTTATCGACTTTTGGCGTTCAGTTTAAGAAGTTAATATCAACATTATGGGTCCAGTGCACTAATTCAACCCCTATTGAAAACAGTGTAAAATCAGCATTGTTCTTGGCCCAATAACATGCATAACGCCAACATCCCCAGGGTTTCTGAAATTAAAAAAAAAACTATTGTCTCAGTGGTCCATAATCTTTCAGTTTCTTTCCAAGTTTTTGTGGGTTAACCAATACATTTTAACTATTTCCACAAAACAAAATCACCCTATGAAAAGTCGGACTTCCGATTTTAAAGTGGCAACCCACAAGTTTATCTCGGGCAGCTTAGGGTTGCACTACGTACACTAAGTACGCGCCCACTCCCAAGGAGAGGTTGGCCTCCCCGGCGCTTCCCTTAGGAAATTCAAGATTATGGCCAGAAGTTCACTTTTCTGTTGAATTTGATAGGGGTTAGCCAAGCGAATTCGTTTATTTGCCCTTTACCGACAACACCACCCCCCAAATAGGAGTCAAACTATGCGCTCAACTCTCAAAGTAGCCGCCCGCCTCTATGCAAAATAGACCCACTGGTTGGAGGCTTTTCTGAACGAAATATGCCGAGTTGGACGTCAGAAGTCCCAAATTCGTGATTTATGAAAAAATCTCTATGATCATTCCCGCGTAGAAATCTACCCATTTAGTGCCAAAATGCACCCTTAGGATTTTTCAACCGTATTTCGTAGCCTTTCTACTCTCACACGGAAGCCCAAAAGACCCAGTGAGTTGATCCTGACAAAGATTGACACAACCTCATAGTTTTGATGGCCGAACAATTTCCTTTTTCACAAGAAACTGTGAGGGACAGCTAACTCGAGCTGGCCAGAAATTCTCACTTGCCTGCACCCTTATCGCCCCCATCCGAAGAAACGTAGTGCAATACTGTGATGTGACAGAGGGCGCTAGTCACTAGGCACGGTGCAAAGTTATAGATGGCGCTCTGCCCAGTAACGGAGGCAGATGCTAGGCGTGCATAGCTAATAGCTGTGTGTTAAGCAAGCGCGGCGCATAGGCTCCGCCTTGTGCGTTGTGCGATAGGGCAGCAGAAGTCACTGCATGGTCACGTGAGCGCGTGCGTGGGCGTGGTCAGAGCAGCGCGAAAGCTATAAAAGGCGCGCGCAGGCGCAGGCGCGGCGCAGGCTAAGCTTAGTCGAGTACGTCGTTCGCGTTCTGATCAAGGGCTGGTAAAGGTCGGGTTATAGTCACCTAGCCTAGTGACTGTGCCTAAGTCCCGAGTGGTGTGTGTTGTTGAGGGGCTCAGTAGGTGAGGGGCTGATTTGTGGTGCGGTATAGTTCCTGACAGGAGCTTGCGGTCGATGGAAGGGCAGATTGCTATCTCGTGACGTGAGTTGCGTGTATCGCAGCCCTGACAATAAGCCCCGCAGGCTTGCTAAAGCCCAAGATTCGGCACTGGATGCCCACAACTAATTGTGGTGTTCGCTGCTTTGGGCGCGGCGAAGTCCGGTCACGTATAATCACACAGTCTCCCCGTCAATAGCGCCCTCTACTGGTGTATTGGTTGAGTGAGTTGATGAA